TATTGGTAGATTAACTTGAGCGTCATAAGCACATAACCTAGTCACCATACATTTAGACAAAAAAAACATTTACTTTTCGTAATTGATATACACGGTACAAATAACTTGCAATTTTCAAAATATCGGCTAAAAACTCAACTCAGTTTATACCTAGATAGCTAATATATCTATTCTAGAAAATGTTAGGGTATTCTGCCTCAGGGAGGGCTTTTTTTAGTTTCTATTTGATGTATAAAAATGAACGGCTCAAATGTTGGAGTCTTCCTCCAACTTTGATTTTCTTCCCTTTGGAGGATATACTCTTGGGACGAGGTGTTCAAGGGCACAGACGCTAATTAAAAATTTAAGGTGGCGCCTGGTATATACATATACCGGTGACCCCAGATCTGGTGCTTTCCTCTCTTGACGAATAAGTATCGCAAAACCGCGAGGAAATGATGCCAGCGTTAAAGGTACACTGCCAAAGGGACCAAACTTATTAGTCTAGTTTTAACATTCTTTTTATTAATTTTTAATTATTATGATTACACAAATAATCACCAGACCATGCAAGTAAATTAGGTTCTTATATATTTAACAAAGGGTTGATACAGAATTCCGATTTATGTATTGATACTCAAAGATCTGTAGAATTTGAGCGCGTAAATTTTACTTGCAAAAGAAGCCTTGGGGACTTAACGTTTCTACATAATATCGATGAAAGTAAGATACTTTAAGCTTTGGCTTAGTCAGCAATACTACAATTTCAGTTAAAAACTAGATAAAAATCTTCAGATACTTCAACTGTCCAATGGCCAGTGGGGTATATTTACATTGACAATATTTTTTTACATCTATATTAATGAAATATCTATAATTTTAATATGTGTGTGCGAAAGTCGTAAACGTAGATTGTAACGTCTGAAGTTTCGGATTCGATTCACGGTCGGAACGCAAATTTGTTGCGACTGAATGATTGATACTCATCATCGGATAATTGTATAGCAATGCCATAAAAAATACACGGTTAGATCGGACAATAAACAAAGAATTTTCGCATCGCAGAAAGTTTGACACATGGATTTCTTTGGTTTTGCTTTAAGGTTAAAAGTAACACATCATGAGAGCGATTTTATTCACAAATATTTTAATAATTTTTAAAGGTTAGTTTTATATAAGAGCATACCAATTCTTAAAGAGCCGGCAACGTATTCCCGAGCACTCTGGCATTGAGAGTGTCCATGGCGGCGGTATCACTTAACATCAGTTGAGCCTCCTGCCCATTTGCCATCTGTTCTATTAAAAAAATAATGTTAAGATATTCTTAATTTTACTTATTGGTAAATTAATATCCTTCAAAGGTCGTCTACTGTGAAACACGATATACTTAAACAAAATAGCTTTTGGAGCTATAATAACCCTTCATTTTATAAACATAACACTCAAGAATATCATTTCGCAAACAAGCGCAAAGGAATAAAGTATTTGTTATCAGCAAGATAAACGTCTTATGGGACTTGTATGTCGCGTGTCAATTGTTCTTGCGATCGTGTAAAACATATCGATAAAGACAAGTGTAGGTCTTCAGAGATGTAATCGTTAGAAAATACATTTATGTACTGTCTAAATCAGCTTTAAACATTTTTCTATTATATCGTGTAGTGTATTTAAATATAAATAGAACTTTTTATAAACTAGACATTTGGAAAGCGAGATACTGTTTGATACAATGATTTGGAGATTTAAAATGTTCCGGAGAAACAAGCCATAGTGGATGGAATGGTACAAATAATAATTAAATAATTTCCAGCGTTTATATGAGTTAAAGAAGTTTGATTTAGATGTTTAAAAGATATAATTAATCAAAGTAAAAAACACTTTAGTGTGATGAACATATTTTTAACATTTTAAAGTAACAATACAACTCTTATAATATTAACTTCATTGTTGATTTTACTGATAAATAACACAGACAAATATTAGATTATGGCTAATTACGTAAACAATAATTAACCACAGTCCACACGTTGATACATTCTATAAATTCATTTCTCGTTCATTTTATTTTCTACATCAGAACAGGCAAATATTAGCTGTTTTTATACCGTTTTAAAAATGATTATTACCAACAATTTATCTTCACCAACTTTTCGCTTTTACATATATTAATTTACAAATATTCTAAATGGTTTTCCTAGGATAGACCATACACCTTTACTCTGAACACGTCGCCAATTAATAACACAGTTTAGGCGCCAAATACAATAACTAGCCTAACCGAATCGACTTCTTCATTATAATTATCTATATTAACAGTCCAAGGTTTATTTCCTTTAGAAAACTATTAAATAAATTAGCAAATTATTGCTTTTTTTAATTGAGAAGGACCCAAGACTTACACGTTAATAATACTCTAAGGCATTTAAGAACAATATGTATTGGATTCCATATTAATATCTATTGGATAAATAAAATAAATAAATCAAAAACATTTTTTTTTGCATTGTTTATTCATTCTTGTTGATTTAGGGTCACCTGTTGGGACAGGATTATGTTTATAGTATAAAATAAAAAATGAATAAAATTCTTAACGTGTAAATTAAATGTAAACTAAGAACTAATGTTCTTAATTTACATTTAATTTACTGCCAGTTCTCAAGGCAGGTTTAGAATGGACGAGAAGAACTGGCAATTAACTCTTCGTCTCTCTCTGAATTTGGTGGCATTTTTGCAAATTGTTTGTAACAGCAACCATTATAACGCATGATACATATATATAATATACTATAATAAACAACGAGTATAATACAATGTTATCCTTTTATGAAACTTTGACACTTTGCTGTTAACCATGAACAAAGGTATCACAGATGATGTATTGTCTTTTGAAAGTTATACAAATATTCGTCAATCCCTTTTAACCGTAAATTTCATTACGAAAGTTTTCGCCATTTTTCTTGCCAAAGCCTGTTCACTGTTCAGTGTTCACCTTTTATGCCTCAAACTTGTAAGTTGGAGAAAACTCCACATTTCTAAGGTCCTATTTTCGATTACCGGCTAAACTTTCGATAGTGCTGTTAAATATGAGCTTTTTATAACAGGGGGCAAACTAGTTGGAGGCTCACCTTATGTTAAGTGATACATGGACTACACTCTCAATGCCAGAGGGCTCGCGCTGCGTTGGGCCTTTTAGATGGGCCACCTGCCAGTTTACCCCCTGTTCTAAAAAAAACTTCTTTCACCACACAAGCGTATTGATTGCATATATAAAAAAGGTATATATAGTCTTTGAACGCACCTCCGGGATCACTCAACATCTACGCTTTTGTTACGTACAATGTTATTAACAATATGTTTGTAAGTACATATTGAAGGTTACCTTCAGAGTCTCAGTATATGACGTAAAAAGCAATATACCACTTAAGTAACCTGCGTGTTTCATAATAAAGAGTAAATCCAGTTGAATGCCTCTCAACATTATCTCTATACACATGAATACATCATTTGTCAGTTTACGACAAAAGCAGGGTGCTTTACGATGTTTTAGTATTCATAATATTACGCCATCTTAGCATCACTTTCGCGCCAAAATAAAAACGCAATAAAACTTTAATGACTTGAAAACTTTATAGTTTGAATAAAAGCTCCAACATCTCAGAGTCAGTCGATCATTTTTAAGAAGGGTTACATAAACATTAAAGGTTTAATTGAAAAATAAATAATTCAGTGGCGCTACTACGTTTTTGGGTTTCTGTATCTGTATCATGATCAGCCTGTGCCTGACACACGCCGTCGACCTTTTGGTTCTAAGGCCGGATTCCTCACGATGTTTTCCTTCACCGTTCGAGCGAATGTTAAATGCACACATAGAAAGAAAGTCCATTGGTGCATAGCCGGGGATCGAACCTACGACCTACACGCTGAAGGCACTAGGCCAACACAGCTCTTTAATTAGAGTAGGGAAATAAAAAGAAAGAGGTTGAACTTTAATTAGTCATTATCTAATTGGGCGTTTTAGTAGATGAAATAAATTTAATTTTATTACTTAATACATTTTTGTAACAAAAATATTTGTACTTAATAACGAAATCTGTTACTTAACGACACGGTTAAAAAGTTAATGAGTTTCATAAAGTCAGATCTTTCCTCATTATTTTAAAATGAACAAGAATATTATCATAATTTTAACCTATTTATGAGTATAAGTTATTAATTAAAGATATTAAATAGACTAAATGGTTTTAAATAGATATCAAAGAGAAACAAAACGAAAGAAATGTATATGAAAAAAAAAATATATTAAAATTTCTGATTAACATTTAAAAAAAGTTGCAGGTCTGAGAAGAAAAAGCTAAAACTTAAGAATCGTACCTTTATCAGTTTTACTTTTATTAATAATTTTAATAAAGAAGTGCTACTTCTCTATACCAAGAGTTACACTAACCCTATATCTTTATTTCTGTCATATAAAAATATATATTTTGAACGTAACTCAAATTTGGTAACACATTATAATATATTCTCTTTATTCGATCATTTGAATACATCTCAACCAATAACATAATTTTGAACTGGGAGTTTATTTGGTGATCTGTTTAGACCCGGTATAGAGCGCTTCGTGCATATATGTAATCAGATTGAAGCTGGAACTGAACTAAGTTAGCTACCCACAGTTACTGCGCGGTCGGAATAACATGAGATCTGTTCAGTCACGTGTTATTTTAGAAAAGCTCTTTTCATTTCTTTTACGATTTTAAACGTCAAGGTTAAGGTTTAGATGATGAGTTTAAGGGTCTGTTTCACAATGTCCGGATAAGTTCCACATAAGACCCAAATAAGCTATTTATTACTTATTGGTAGGATAAACACTATTGTTGCGTTTCACGACTGTCAGATAGCGCTATTCGTCACATAAAGTCCATCATAAGTTATAAGTCCGATGAATGTCAAATAGCACAATTTATCTGAAACATAAGTGTGTTTGACTGATGTCAGACAAGAAAACGTTGTGATTCAATAATATGATGGAAGTTTTTGAAACTCTTGAAGATGAGTTTGATGAATACTTTGATCGCATCACAACACCGCGCAGGAATCCTGTATTTCAGAATAGAACTAACTATATGGAGACATTGGACGAAACGGACTTTAGGACACGGTTCAGACTTACTAAAGAAGCCGTGATGTTTGTTTATTCAATGATCGAAGAAACAATTTCTGCCCCTACAGAAAGGTAAGTACTTACATACCTACATACAACCCGCAATGATTGGTTTAGTTTGTACTTTGTTATTTATTCGATTATTGTTTCTAGTTTGTATAATATAACTTTTATTTTAGGTGGAGACAATGCAGAAGAATGGAGAGACAGAAAGTCACAGTTTTCTTTTAATGTTCAAACTGTAGTGAGTGCAAAGTTGAAGATTTTAGACATAGTGGTTAGATGGCCAGGAGCAGCACATGACCAAACAATTTTCAACAATTCATTCCTAAAACAAAGACTGATAAATTGAGAATTTGGAAACCTTTTGATTGTTGGTGATAAAGGCTATGAAAATACTTCATACCTCCACTCCAAAACCCCACGACTCCAGCAGAACATCTTTAGAACGAATCTCAAATTCGAAGTAGAAATGTGGTGGAAAGGACATATGGTGTTTGGAAAAATCGGTTCCCCATTTTGTCAAAAAAGGTTTTGCTTCATGTATCTCGTGTACAAGCCGTGATAGTGGCATGTGCAGTGTTGCACAATATTGCTATTGATATGCGAGATGAACATTTTGAACTACTGCAACAAGTAGATGAACCTGCTGATGATATTGATCAAAGCGCAATTGACAACGTGGGAAATGCAAGTGTGCGAAGTAATCTTATTAGTGATTATTTTGCTTTATTACTATAATATTTTATAAATTACAAAATTTTTGAGATAAATTAAATAAACATTCAATGCTTTTATTTAAATAAAAATACAAATTTTTATTACAATACATCCTCGCTCCAGGCACAAAATCGATTATTTTTCTAATTTATTTAACAATATATTTTTTTCTATGGACCATAATTCTCTTTTATGCTCTCTTTCTTCCTCTTCAAATGCCCATTGCTTTCTCTTATTTAGAAGCTCTACTTCCAGAATCTTCTTTTGCAGATCCGCAATCTCTAATTTTGAATCAGCAACTTTTTCGAATGGCCTTTTCATCTTCGGAGTAGCTGAAAATAGATTGATTGGTTAGCCGTGTGGTGGCAGCAAAGACGAGTAGTACCACCCAATATTTGCTTGTGGGTGTCGATGAAAGCGACTTAGGGCTTATCCGCGAGTTTTAGATATAGCGTGGTGACTATAGGCAAAACCTAATAATGAAATAAATCTACTTTAATACAAATAACTTACATAAAGCGGGATGTTTTTTGGAACGTAGAGATTTTGGCTTCCAGTTGGTCCACTTCTCAATTGCCTCACATTTTTTGGGCGTAGCACTACCACATTCACCTGAAGTTAAACATAAAAGGTAAAGTCCGACTAACTTACCAACAACTCTGAGGCATAACAATTTGAAGCATTACTTACTTATTTTTCTTTTTGGAGGTTGAGGGGCCACCTCCTGAACGATATATTTCAGCATGTATCAAGGCAGATTTTTTTCTTGTAGCCCTCTTTAAGCCTTCGTATTTAGCTTTTAAAGTTTTAGCGCTGCGAAAGTTTACCCCACGTGCTATTAAACAGCGCCTCTAGCGTCTTCCAGCACTGCTCTTTCTCCTGCCAGGTGACTGAGTCACTTTTTTTATTTTCTAATATATTTTTATGGTCAGCAACAAGCGAAGTTAGAAGCTCAACTTCTTCCCGGCTGAAATTGACGCTTCTTTCACGTTTTTGCGTAGACATTTTTTTAAGTTAAAGAATCAACCTCGAATCACAAAAACAACGGAAAGGTCAAGCCGAAGGCACCGAACTAAAATATGTAGTAAAATACTCAATAACCTAACAAACAAAAATACCATGTGAAAATGACAGCCCGTTTCATTACAAGTAATATTAAATGACCAACAAAAAGGTTAAGGTTCTATGTTTTTCTATAGAATTTTGTAACTTTATTTGTTCGTAACAAAAAAACGGAACATACGAATTTGGTGTTGCTACCACAATCTTCTTTATGTGTCGGATAGTTGTGTGCCGGATAAAATATGATTGTGAAACGCAAAGTTTCTTATTCGGAACTTTTATCTTCCAAATAATTTATGTGTTGCATAGCTATTTGGTACTTTATCCATACATTGTGAAACAGACCCTAAGTATCTCAATATGTGTATATTAAATATTCAAAATAGATATTTTACATTTAGAATTCAAAATTAAATTATTTAATACTGTCAAATCTTATTAACGGAATAACATTATATTACATTATGGAGAAGTTTTTTTTTTTTTAAAGAACGGGGGGCAAACGGGCAGGAGGCTCACCTGATGTTAAGTGATACCGCCGCCCATGGACACTCTCAATGCCAGAGGGCTCGCGAGTGCGTTGCCGGCCTTTTAAGAATTGGTACGCTCTTTTCTTGAAGGACTCTAAGTCGAATTGGTTCGGAAATACTTCAGTGGGCAGCTGATTCCACATAGTGGTGGTGCGCGGCAAAAACTGCCTTGAAAAACGCTCAGTATTTGGCTGCTTCGAAAAACAGATGCACGAGTAAAGCTGTAAAAAATTGAATTTGGAATTCCTAACCAAAGAGGAGATATACCTATATCAAAGTTCGCCAAAACGCCAATTTCATATGTAAGGACCTAATATGTTAATCGTAAAGTATTTTATTCCTAATATATTTTCTAACAACAACTTAACTTCTGTAAAATAATTTTCGTATATATTAATAAACTTCTTGGCACAATAGTTTTTGATTTCTTCTCATATTTAAGTTATCCTTAAGAAACATGAATACTAGAATTTGACTAAACAAGGTCCCTTTACACATCGGCCCCACAGGACATACCTAAATCTAAATATGACACGTCTCGCACCTTTCATTATAATTTTCACTTATATTTACAACGCTGAGTACATTTTGTTGTTGAAACTTCTGCATAATACATTTTCATAAAGGTAAAAACAGGTTTTACATTAACGGAAACGTAAACAGAATTAATGTTATAAAATAAGTGGAACCCATCGCATATTATAATTAAGGTACAAGATTGTAGTTTCAAATGATCTATATATCGCTATAAATATTTTCATAAAATATACAATACATACAAATACTAGTACACGATTTAGTTTTGCCTTCATCTGTGAAATTTAATTATATTTTTGTAACGTATTTTTTTTACTAAAACCACTAAATACTTTCTTAGTTAAGTAATTCGGAACTACGTGGAGGTATATTTATATATAAACATTTCGTTGGTAAAGTCATATTTATACGAACAACTCCTTATATGGAATTTGTATTTGTTTTTACAACAAACTCCCAAGCGAAATTAGAGATATATCTAAATAAAGCTTTTTATAAATTTGACGATTGTTTAAGTGATCCTAATCCTTGGGATTGATTTGATCCAGTTCAAATATTTATGGCTGCTCTGCCTTACAAAGAATTTGGCGATTAAAAAGAGTGGCGGAGAGTTTATGTTTTTGTGAACGAATGACATTTCTAAAATATACATACAGGGAAGAGATAAAATTTTGAGCTTCTTAAATAAAGGTACGCAACTATGTAGAAAGTGTGCTCCACAAATTACTTTAATACATTTTATTTGGCCTTAAATACCCTACATACTTTGACTGAATTTCCCCTAACTATAATTCCATATCTAAATATAAATGAAACATATGCATGATACGCAGCTAATACCGTATCATAGTTAACAGTTTTACTTAGCACATACATGAAAAATAGTAAGATTTATAAAACATGTTTTCAATAGAATTAGAGTATGAATGTTCAGAATAGGAATTGCGCGAATTTGGAAAATAATGGCAATTGCGAACTTATAGTAAATATAAATTGAGAATCAATTTAACATCTTTTCCGTTGACGTTCATACGTGTACTTGGTTACCTATATGAATAAAGTTATTTTTAATTTGAGTATACTAGTACATTGTAAGACTATTCTTAACCTTCCCTTTCAATTGACGAAATTGTTCTCATAGTGGACTATGGTAGGGAAATTAAAGGTAGTAAGCACGTACATATTCATTATTTTACAACCTTAAATAAGCTGAAATAAACCAACTGTGCTTTTAGAGTTTCGGATTGATCAAATGGTACGCTGGTCACATGTTAGTCGATATAATCGGATTTGCGGTCATAAACCAAAGTTGACTCAACAAACTATGCACGTGATGTTTAATTTGATATCTTTACTTGGTTTGAGGAGGGTTTGAGTCTATCTTTTAGTTATATAAAGATGAGTTCAAGCTTATTTTGAATAAATGCAATGAAGGGATATTTCTTAAAATTAATTTAAGTCAAATCGACATTAACAGCTCGGTATAACGATATATATTTTTAATTTTGAGATTTCTTCGTGTCGGTTATGTTAGCTAATTTCGTTTAACACTGAATAATCTTGATACTTGTTACTAAGGGTACAAAAACTAAGAATCTGTACGTTGTTGTAGGTTGTCACTCTTTTATTAAAATGGCTCTGCCGATTTAGATCTAAGCTTTACAATTAATTTTAGTGTGTTATTTATTTTATAGTGGAAGTTCGTTTCGCCTTAATAAGATGTTTTAACTTTGCCTACCTTTACATACCAAATCGAACATTTGACACTGTTCGCTTTTTCGGAGTAAACACCTAAGTACCAACTATATAGAACTACATTTTTCAGTTTCTTAAATATTTCATCAAATTTTCTCTCCATGAAAACCTTAATCAAAGTTCAAGAAATAAATTTAAAAAATACTCGACCACGTCTTCGAGTTTTGAGTGTAGCAACATATTTTGCGATTTATTTTTATTACTATAGATAAACAGCATATTTCTGCTATACGTATATATGTAGCTTAGGCTAATATTGTCAAGTTATTAACGATTGATTAATATTGAGTAAATTTTAAGTAGACAGAAAATTAAAACAATAAGTAAAATTAAGTACTACTGATTGGTTTATTACAATCTTGAAAGTGTATTTAATAATGTTATATAATCAAAGAATCAAATTACTAATAATTGCCGAATTTCATAACAATGCTTGGACAATGGTTTCTACGTCGCGCCTTTGAAATTAACAGAAACATAACTTTACGAAATATTTAACAAAGCGGTTCTTTTATCAATAATTTATTGGTGAAACCTTTCATGTTCAAAGTTATAAAACAAAAACGCCTTTACAAACCTGTAAAAAGTCTATTTTTAGCTAAGCTGAGTTTTTAGTTACTATGTATGAACTGATACTGATATAACTGATAAAATATATTTACTAACACATAGGATAACCAGATATATAATTTTAGGTACAGTTTATTATGAATAAGTTGAAATGTATTACTAGTTTATATAAAAAAAGTCTCAGAAATTACAAAAAAATAATCGACATTTTTATTAAAATAGGTGATAGTTCCACGATGTATTTAGAAAAAATGATTAAAGAGCACTGCAAGTATTAAGCGTACCGTGTGTTATTTTTATTTATTTCATTTTTTTATTCGAAATTATGACGGATTAAAGTAAACAGTAGGTACTTATCCGGAGCTGGATATATTCGGTAGTGGGCTGATCAATATTAAAGTAAAACATTGGTGCCTATTTCGTACCTAATCCACTGTTTAGTTTGCTGGTAATTTTTTTTCTGCTTAACAGAAAGTTTCTCGTATTTTTATTTTATCTTGTACATATTTTAATTGTATTTTTTTTTGTAACATTCATGTTTACAATTCATACATTTTAGATAAAAGA